AAGTTTATGGTGCCTTCCATACTTTACTGAATTGGATTAGGTAATTTTATCTCTGAATTTTTTTTCTTTATTGATCAAATGAAGAAAGCACAGGTCTTAATAAAGGCAAACTGTTTTCGTTTGTATTGTCTTTTATCCAGTGTCATATAACTTGAGGGTGTAGGACGTAATTATCTAAAGATTCTAAAAAAATGACTACACCTTTAGACTTTGTGATATTGTCTAATTTCAGCAAGCCAATGGCTCTCTGGCTTATGAAGGTAGAATTAAAGGGGAAAAGGCTAAAATTCACAATACTATTTAAGATGTAATATCAATAGAAACTACCAAGTTCTCATATAATTAGAAAGCATTTGTCTTGAAAAAAACACACACTCAGAGATTCTCTACCTTTCAGTCAGTGGTGAGTAAAAAAGGCGAGAAATTGTAATTATGTTCAGATAGGCCTCCAAGTTTGAGAATATATTCGAAATATGCAGATTTTTCTGGAAAGCTCTCAAGAAGTGGAACTGGAGTCAGTGAGAGTCCTTTGTATTGATGACAAACCTGGGGCTGCCTGGGAAAACAGAAGTCTGATTCAACTGGTATCAAATAATTCCTAGACCTGAGATTCTACAAGATCTACTTCTCAGGCTGCATTAGAGTATCAGCGGGCTGACACATGTGAAGGTGAAATATTTGGATAGCTGCATTTCCAGCATCGCTTTGGGAACGTCTTGGTGGGGCCAGAACCTCCCCTTCCTTGACAGGCCTCATGTTCTAGCTGTAGCTGCAGGAGCCGCAGCAGAACTGCCCCAAAGCCTGTACCTTTTGATTGTTTTTCCTGGTGAATCAATTCTCTCCTTGCTGAGACTCAATGGCATTTTCTGTTTCCATTTTCACTTTCAGAGAAAACAAGTGCTACCCTCCTCAGGTTCCAAGGAGTGAGCCTCTCTTATGTGAAGGTCTTGCATTATCCGTGGGCTTTCTGGATATGGTCCTTGTATCTGTTGTGAAGCTATTAAGCCTAGAGGCAAAGACTTGATTTGGACGTGAGAGACAGGTGTTGTGTAAGCTTCCCCTTCAAGCAGCATGTACAGGATGCTTCCCTCCTGATGATCTCAAACACCCACCCACTGTTATTCCCATTTTAAACCTCTCTGGATCAGAGAACAGTGTACTCTGCAGATGTAACTGGTACTTACTGAAACAAATAAAACAGACAGGATCACTGAATGCCAAAGATATACTAATCTGTTTACACCACCCACTCTCAACTATTCTCTAAAGTGCTGTAAATATTGGGTTTTCTGTTTGGGGGATTGCAATACTTATCCAATGAAAGAAAAGCCAAAGTAAGATCCTGAACCTGTTGTTGCTGAAACTGCAGCCTCAGACCTGCCTAGCTCCCCACACAGCAACTGTCCGTTAGCCTATACATCCATAGGCCTATAGTGTTTTCCTCCAATTGAGCCACCTGCGATAGTTACTCCAAATGCCGCTGCATTTCATCTTCAGACATGAGACTGTTTTAGGCCCCAGGTCTGTCCTTTGAAGTTTGAGCAAAAGGTTAGGGTGCTTTGTAACAATTATGTGGTGTTTTCTACACCAGATTGCTTTTCCTAAGATTAAGAAGACAAAGTTGAACAATCTAAGGAAGAGCTGGTGGCAGACGCAGAAACAATTAAAGTTATCTGGGATTAAATAAATGTCATATTGCAGGGTAATATTGCGTTTTTATAATGTATGTATTCTTTTTTGATATAAAGGGATTTAATTTTATACATTTTTCTCTTCTTAATATCACAGTAATGGGTTCCCAGCCTTCTCAAATAAGATACACTCTTTTCTCACCAAAACAGTTCTTCAGCCTTCACCAGAATCTATTATTAGTAAATGGAGCTCTATTCATGGCCATTTGAATACAGAACACAACAAAAGCTTCCTAGAATTTAGTTACACATGTATTGAATATCACACTTTATCATAACAGCATCTACATACATTTTAAAACAGCAGTGCATTATCTACAAAGACACAGTATTTATTCAGCCTAAAAACAATGCTTAATGCAGGTATAGATGCATGGACCTTTCAGATCGTCTACAGACCGCAGGTAAGAAATGACTCATCCTGAAGAACTAAATGTCTGTGAGATGATACATTTCTTCTACCATCTTTGGTTTTTAAAAAGCAATGTATTTTGTCCTTGAAAAAAAGATTACACTAATTTTCTTAATCTGATAAATGCCCTGAGACGTGAGATCTGTTTCCTTTTTAAACAGTACTTTACAGCAAATCTAGAGCAAGGCTGAAGGGAACTAAATTTACCAGTTTTGAAGGCCATAGTAAAATGTCCCATCCCAAGAATAAAAATGGAATTCAATTAAAACAGAACTAAGTTGTGATTCTATCTGTCTGCAAGATGATTAATAATACTGTTAATTTATGGGTGTTTTTGATTTGAAAAGAGGCCCACATAGAACCTGTGGACAATGAGGAAACAGCCCATGTGAATGAATGGGTGAAGTGGAATCACCTTAGGGCTTTCCAGGAAACAAGGTACCTTTTGCTATTATGTGTAGAGACTAAGGCAATGTGTCATTGGGGCAGCTAACCCTGCTGGTTGAATTAGATGCAGACTAGTTCTAAAGGGACCTGTTTTTTTTTTTTTTTTTTTTTTTTTTACACACACACACACACACACACACACACACACACACACACACACCTAAATAGATATGGTGTAACATTTTGTTTAAGCATTTTCCTGATGGACATTAAGAAGATGTTTCCTAATGCCTGTTAAGAAGTAGGCAGGTGGGGAAGGAAATATTTTTTTCATTGCAATTTAAAATGATACAAATCATTGAGTTGGATGTTATATATAGTAATGCATATTTAAGGAGGGTAAGAGGCAAGTAAGTTTTACATTTGCCTTTCTTGAAAAGGCATATTGAATGCATAAAGAGAAACAAAGTGTGTATCATGGTAGATGTAGGAGTAGTTGAGAAATATTAAGGGAGGTGAGCTTACCTAGAGTTTTAAGTGCAGAAGAGCAACTGTGGATTCTGGCAGTGCTTTTGGCTGGCTGGTTGACTACCTGTTCTTGCCAGGGATGCCACTAGCCTGTTCTTTAGTTTGTTCACCTCAGAAAAGAGTCAGATACTGCAACAAGATAGTGTGGAAGTAAATGAGACAATTTTTAAAAACTTTACAAGCACTTACACAGTCTCAGATAATGTGTAAAGCATATATTTGAAAGAAGTATTAACTTTGATATAACAGAGATGAGCTTTTTCTTAGACAATTAAAAATGCAGTGTAGTTTACAGATATATGGAGGAACTACCTATTTCCCAAATAATGATGTCAAAACTTTAACTGTTTTATCTATTTTAGAGACTTTATATCCAGAATTTTCTGTAATGAATATCAGACTTGTACAGTCATCTGTACTGATCTGGCTGACTTTACTTTTCAATATTATAAAATATGAAATGTCAAAACATTACCCTCATCATAAATGTGATGCTCACATGTAATTTTTGAAGCATTCATTCTTGTATTCTCAAGATGATTAAATCAACCATTATTTAAACTACTGATCATTTTCTAGGTTTTATCCAAACAAAAACTAGAATATGGATTAGTCTAGTTCACACCTGCACTTAAAGAAAAAAACATTCATTTTCATATTACTTTTAATGCCACAAATGTGTTTTTATTATGTTATTTTCTCCATCATTTTACTGGATACAGAGAAAAAGCAAACTTCTAAAAAAAAGAGAAGAAACAGTTATTTCCTGATTTAAGGATTAATGCTGTTGTTCTTAATAGAAGGCTATGGTAAGGTACCACCATCTGCTAAAAGTTATACAGAAAAGCAGTTGAGTCCAGAAGTAAGATCAGAATTATTACAATAGGCAGAATAAAATTTGGGGTGTATGCTGCAGTACATTTCATTATTTTCTTATTCAGGGAGAAATTTTCTATGGTTGGTTTTCTGTGGGTGCCATGAAGATGAGAGTTGATAAGGCTGGGAGGCTGCTGGCATCCTAAGACTTTTCTTCACCCAGGCTCAATGAGTAGAGGTCTTTGTAACTGCTGCTTTGCCTCAATCATAATCTTCTCTTATTTGCATCAAACTACCCTAAAGCCAGATGTGGACATTTGTATTTAGCTTCTTCCTTCTATTGCTTTTCAAACACAGCTATTTCAGTGTTCCTAGTGTGGTAATCCCAAACTACCTGCTGTGAATCAGGGCCTTTATGTGAATTGTAATCCACTGTATGTGTGAGAAATAATGCTCTGAATTTTTTTTAAAACAAAATCTATGAAGCACGTAAATTGACTGTGAGTCCGGGTTTTTCTGTCATCTGCTTTTTCGTGCTCGTTATAGGTACCCATTATGATCATGCCACTCTGGTCATAGGAAATACTTGCATATGAGAATGAGTAACTGACGGGATTTGTTTTATAATCCCACAACAACGAGAGTAGCTTTGTACGTGGGTCTTAATTTGTCTCAAGGACTGTAGCCATTATTTTGCTTTTCCATGTGTAACTAAGATTTTTTTTTTAAAATAAAAGTTTTCCTCCATCAGTTGGGAGTTTTTCGTGTGTGTGTGTGTGCGCGCGCGTGCGCGCGCGCGTGACAGAGAGAAACAGCGAGAGAGGCAGAGTACAAGGGAGAAAAGGGAGCTTCGTGGTATCATAGGCCTAAATGAAAATAGCTATTTCTACAACAGACTGGCTTTTCTCCTCAACACCTTTTCTCAGGGTCAATAATTCCTTCTTTGGCTCAGGATGGAATCACTGGCTGCAGCTCCAGAGGCAGCCCGTGGTAACTGCAGCTTTGGGTGTTCCTTTTCTCAGAGGAGATATGGGGTGCTGGAGCAAAGGCCTAAAGCAGAGACAGCAGTTAAATCACATTGAGCTAGGTTTGCATATGTTTTATATGTATTTTATTCTGTGTGCATGATCTATCTGCAAATAAATCCATCTCTATTTTATTCATAGTTCTAATGGCAAGTCTGTGTCATGGTCTGAACCAGGTGGAGGACAGGTGCCCAAGGGACAGCACATGTGGCACCGCCTCTCCGTGCACGTGAAGACCAATGAGACGGCCTGCAACCAAACAGCCGTCATCAAGCCCCTCACTAAAAGTTACCAAGGCTCTGGCAAGAGCCTGACCTTTTCAGATACCAGCACCAAGACCCTTTACAACGTAGAGGAGGAGGAGGATGCCCAGCCGGTTCGCTTTAGCCCTCCTGGCAGCCCTTCCATGGTGGTGCACAGGCGCGTGCCCAGCGCGGCGTCCACTCCGCCTCTGCCGCCCCACCTGACCGCAGAGGAGACCCCCCTCTTCCTGGCCGACCCGGCCCTCCCCAAGGGCTTGCCCCCTCCTCTCCAGCAGCAGCAGCAGCCCCCTCCACAGCAGAAATCGCTGATGGACCAGCTCCAGGGAGTGGTCAGCAACTTCAGCACCGCGATCCCGGATTTCCACGCGGTGCTGGCAGGCCCCGGGGGTCCCGGGAACGGGCTGCGGTCCCTGTACCCGCCCCCGCCGCCCCCGCAGCACCTGCAGATGCTGCCGCTGCAGCTGAGCACCTTCGGGGAGGAGCCAGTCTCCTCGCCCGCGGACGACGACGACGACAGCGAGAGGTTTAAGCTCCTCCAGGAGTACGTGTATGAGCACGAGCGGGAAGGGAACACGGAAGAAGACGAGCTGGAAGAGGAGGAGGAGGACCTGCAGGCGGCCAGCAAACTGACCCCGGAGGATTCGCCCGCGCTGACGCCTCCGTCGCCTTTCCGCGACTCGGTGGCCTCGGGCAGCTCGGTGCCCAGCTCCCCGGTGTCCGAGTCCGTGCTCTGCACCCCTCCCAACGTGTCCTACGCCTCCGTCATTCTGCGGGACTACAAGCAAAGCTCTTCCACCCTGTAGGGGGGAAGGGTCCACAGAGAAAAGCAAGACAAGCCGGAGAGCTCCCACACCTCCAGAGATGTGCAAAGGGCTGGAAGGAGAAGCCGGGGAGTGGGGAGCCTCGTCGGAGAGGAGGAGACCGCTGCTGCCGCTGCTGCTGCTGCTGCTGCCTTAAGCAGGAAGAGGGAAGGAAACCAAGCAAAAAATGCCCCAGGCCAGGATTCAGATTCTTGAATTATTCAAAAGCCTTCTCTGGGAAGAAAGGGAATTCTGACAAAGCACAATTCCGTATGGTATGTAACTTATCGCAAATCAATAAATAATGACATCACAAACATAATCTCCTTTGCACAATTGTGCATAGCTATATATATATGCCCACACACACTGGGCCATGCTTGCTAAGGAACAGCCCACGTGGACATGCCAGTCAGATCATGAGTTCACGTGACGGCATTCGGAGTGAGCTGGTGGAGCCGCACAGAGCAGGTGCGGGGAGGGGAAGGGCCCAGGCCAGACCCACAATAAATGACGGGATGATGGAACAGCAGCTCCTTGCTCAGAAGCCCTTCTCCCCGCTGGGCTGACAGACTCCTCATCTTCAGGAGACTCAGGAACGGGGCCGCGTAGGGGTCCTTCTTCATCCACCGCAACCCATCCAGTGCCAGCTTTGAGATTGCACTTGAAGAAAGGGGCATGGACCCCCTGCTGCTCTGCGGGTTCCCTTTATTTAGGAAAACAGGGATAAGAGCAAAATTATCACCAAGAAGTGCTTCATCGGCGTGCTACAGGAGGAAGGAGCTAGAAATAGGACAATCCATCAGCATGGGACTTTGAAAAACAGAACAGCATGATCAGCTTCTCATGTTCCATATTCACTTATTGACGATTTGAGGAAAAGGCCAGAACAAGAGATTGTTTTGAGAGCGGCAGAAACCCTTTTGTGGATTAACTTGTGTTTGTGCCAAGCGGGCTCTCCATTGCCCTTCAGTTAAAGAATAAACCATGTGGCAAAATTGTTACCTTCCACTTACTGTAGCAAATAATACCTACCAGTTGAACTTCTAAGATGCGTATATGTACAATTTGGTGCCATTATTTCTCCTATGTACTACAGAAACAAATCCAACTTTGAATCTAATGGTGTACTCAATAGCAACTATTACTGGTTTAAGTGACAAATAATTCTATTCTCTTGTCACTGAAGTGTCACTAGCTAGTGAATGTGTTCCTGTGTCCTTGTATATGTGTAATTGTAAAATTTGTGCAATGTAATGTCAAATTGACATGTCAGTGTCAATCTTGTAGTCAATCCAACTGCAATTAGAAATTGTCTTTTGAATATACTATAGATTTTTTTATGTTCCAATAATGTTTTATACATCATGGTCATCAATATCTACAGAAGCTCTTTGAAAGTTTGAATACTGTGGCTCAATGTTTTTCATATGCAGGTTGCATGGACATTTTTCTTCAAAGATGGAACTTATTTTTCAGATATTTTCTGATGTGGAGATATGTTATTAATGAAGTGGTTTGAAAATTTGTTATATTAAAAATGCACAAAAAACTGAGAGTGAAAATAAAAGGTACATTTTATAAGCTTGCACACATTATTAAAACATGATTGAACAAAGCATTTAGATTGTTCCAGATTATTTTAGTTTTAAAAAAAGATTTTCGACAGCTACTCGAGCTCTTCTATACAGTAACATCGAACTCAGCTCATAATTTCTAAAACCTTTATCAATCACATTTTGCCTTCCTTTAATTTTTATGTCCATGTACTTTCATTCCTGTGTCTTGGCTGTCATAATTTTTTATTTCTGTTATCTGCTGTTCTGTAATATCCAAGGACATGTAATCCACTTATTCCACCTTTACCCTCCCTTTTTACCCACAATAAAAGGATTTTTCTTGCTTTTTTGATTTCCTCTATTATTTGTGGAATGAATTTCTACCCCCCTTAAATATCTTTGTTTATGCCTTATGTTCAGTCATATTTTAATATGCTTCCTTCATATTGAAGCTGCTGATTTCTCAGCCAAAAATCATCTCAGAATCTTTAAATATCCACTATATCATTTGTTCAGAATTTAACATCCACTCCAGTGTTGGAGGCTTGTATTTCTTATACTTCACCATATTCTACTGCCAAGTTTGGTCAGTTCCACATCAAGAATGAACTGACTTTCCTTAAAAAAAATTATTTTAAAATATCTTTATTGAAAAGATCTTGTGACTGAAGTGTGGACTTTGGTTCCATATTTTCATTGTAAGAAAGCAGACAGAGGACAATCAATGGCTCCAGTGATTAATAGATGGGTTTTTAGTAACTGACAAATTCATGAGGGAAAGCATATGATCGCTTTCTTAGCGAATCATGTTTATTATTTAATCTTAATGCCACTAACATACATCCCTAATATCACAGGGCTTGTGCATTCAGATTTTTTAAAAGTAAAATAGATAAGAAAACTTATATTCAAGTGTAAGATGATATCAGGTTGGTATAAGACATTTGGTGAACACGTTCATTCAACTGTGATCATTTTATCACTCTGAATGAGTACCATTGTCTTGATTATGGGGTCTCTTGAATAAATACAGTATTAATCCTTATGTCATCATTGTTCAAAATTGGAGAGGTACACATACATACCCTATAACAAGAGGTCCGAAACTCGTCACCTTAATGTATGTGCTGCTACAAGTTGTTCAGCTTCTTGTAAATGTGTTTTCCTTTGGCTCGTTACTGCCTTTTGTCAAATAATCTTGATAATGCTGTATAATAAATATTTTCTATTTATTAAATGTGTATGTTCTTTCTCTATATTCTGAGAGTTACAACAATAGAAATGAACCAATAGAAGAAACAATTCCAAGATTTTGATTTGGCTCAGAACATGTTTTCTGGGTGAAAGCTGGATAAAGCAACACAAAATCTACAGATCAAGTAGGTGAGAAGTATAGTGTGACTATGAAGAAGTGGTACTTCACGTTGTAGCAGTTTTAAATGAAATCCAAAATTAAAATTTGCAGTGCCCTTGGCAGATATTGTCATTCATCTTATTGACAAGTGTGTGAGGCTGAACAAACTGGGCATTCTAATGGAGCTCTGGGGGCAAAGGTTTTCAGTGGTCCCAGCTTTGTTTTATTCATGCCCTGCAAGACTTTTCTTTCCTTGATTCACACGTTAGGGGGACCTCATTTCCAACCTTACTGATATTCTTCGGCCCACCCTAAGTTCTACTCCCCTACATTTCAACAGGCACTTCACTGGTTCCCCAAACAAAGGAGTCTCTGTTATTGATACTTTCTGCTATGAGATTCCTGCAAAGTAGGCCATTTCCCAAGTATCACTCAAAAAGAAAATATGATGGACAAGAGCCACACCCATAAGACTGTCACGCGTTTTGAGGGCAGGAGCAAGCTCCATACAGGAAGTCTAATGTTAAAGACCCACAAGCAGAGGCTGGGACATGAGAGGTTTCTTCACTCTGCCTAGAAGATGGAATAAGAAACCATGAAATAAGAGCTTTGTGTCTCAAGAGGAAAAGCAGGCCAGCTGGGCACGGTGGCCCACACCTATGATCCCAGCACGTTGGGAGGCTGAAGCGGGCAGAGCATGAGGTCAGGAGTTCAAGACCAGCCTGGCCAGCATGGTGAAACACCATCTCTACTAAGAAAATACAAACATTAGCTGAGCATGGTGGTGTGCACCTGTAACCCAGCTACCTGGGATGCTGAGGCAAGAGAATCGCTTGAACCTGGGAGGCAGAGGTTGCAGTGAGCCGAGCTTGTGCCACTGCACTCTAGCCTAGGTGACAGAGTGAGACTCTGTCTCAAAAATAAAAGAGGATAAGTTATAGGAGAGGAGAGAATGAGAAACAAAAACAGGAAAGAAAAAAATGAAGAAAAGTGATAGAGAAGACAGATAAATGTTTAAGGTACATAGCCTAAAGATAAATCCAAGTATCAGGGTAGGTCACAAAGGACTCCATTTGGAGAGAGTCCAGAAGCTTTATTTGGGCCATAAGAAAGACATTTGGAGAGGCTAGGATTATGGTCCTGATGCCATAAACGACGTATGAGTAACTGCCCCATGATTTCTACAGAGAATGCCCTGGGAGGGAATCAAAGAGAAGGGAATCAATACTTTTATAACCTCCTGTGTGCCAGCCACTGGGTTCTTTGAATTCATTCTCATTTAATCTTTCCATTACTACTGTCATATAGAAGGACACTTTCCATTTCTCAGCTAGTAAGTGGCCCAACAGAGCTTCGATCCTCATTTTCATCCAGTATAGAGCCTGTGAATTCATGTTCCTCTCCAGAGCCCAGGGAAGTATGAAGGAAGTGGTTCCTTTTTGCTTGGGATTAATTTTTCTTTCTGATTTCTGAGTTGATGGCAAAGCACATACTCAATAAAGATTTGTTGAAAAAGTAATAGAGAAAATGAATGTTAGAACACCATATAGTTTTCCCAGTTCAATTCCCTGAAGATTTATTCCAAGATCCTTATGGGGTCCAGAGCTCTATATTTCCACCTGCTAATTCTAACTGCCAGCTGGAACAACACATGCTTCCATCATGAAAAGCAAGTTCTCCTTTTGGCATCAGAAAGAGCTGGCCCATGGGCAGCAGGTCTCCCTTTCCTGCAGAGTCCATTGAGCCCAACCAGAATGCAGTGCTGGGTGTGGAAAACAGCGTCCTCTGCAGAAGAACTGCAGATAAGACATAAACTACTTAAGTAGGACATCAGTTTAAGTGAGGAAATCACCCACGAGAAAGCAGGGGCAGGTTTTCTTTCTTAAAGAAATGAATGTCTTCAGACACAGGCAAAGCAAAATGGGTTACCAGGAGTTAGAGGAACGTGAGGAAGAGGAAGAGCTTAGGTAGGGAGTTGTACTAATAACACCAGAAACCAGAAACTAGCTTGATTTTCCCAGGGCAGCTTAGGAAGGAAGACTTATTAGTTAATAAATAAAAGAAACGAAACTTAAGAATGAAGATCACGAAAACTGAAAAGGAAAATAATGACAGAAGCTTAGAGTTGGAAGTAAACTTAGAAGTCATTTAAAATAAACTTTTACCCTGTTCAGGATTCCATTCCCCTATGTTCTGTTTCTCTTCCTAGATGGCAAGAAACCATCACTGATGAGTTGGGCTGGGCATGGGGCCAATTACCTGCAGTTGCTGTGCCAAAGAAGGCAGAGAGCCTTAGATACTGGGAGAACAAGTCCAAAACCATATTGTTAAACGACAATGCCAGTTAGAGAACATAACTCAGGCCCAAATCCAGAATGGAGGCATGACAGGAACCAGGGAATCTAAAAGGAGAAATCATCAAGACAGGCAACAGGGTGGTAGGCTATGGAATTCTGCAAATAACATGCTGGTGACAGAAATGAGTTTTTAGTGAGAACTACAGAGGATTACATGTGTAACCAGAGATTAAGGGTCAGAATAGATTGAGGTGACTTTTTCCCCTCTGCTTAAGTATTTCCAGACTAGAGTCTTATATTTGATATGGGAAAGCTCTACTTGTTAGGAAATTCTTTCCTCAGCTGAAAATTGCTTTTCTCTAATTTTTCCTGAGTTCTGCTTTTTAGAAAAACACTGAACAAATTTAGTCCACTGTGCACGTGACTTCCCTTCAGCTACTTGAATACAGTGATTATGTCATTCTTTAGTGGTTTATTCTCCAAACAAAATAGCTTAACTTCCTTCCATTGTTGTCTTTATTATTATTTTCCTAACCCCGTAATCAGGTTATAATCCTACTCCAATTTTTGAATATCCCTTAAAAACATATTGTATCCAGAACTGGACACAATACCACACATACACTTTGACTCTCTTTAACCATTATTCTAATATTTCTGCCTAAATTTCTGTTAACTTTGCAGTATTGCCTCGTTTTGCACGCACACTTAGCTCAGAGCCAGCTATAACCCTGAAGCCATTTTTATACGAATTGCAAGAAATGGATATGAATGTGAATCTTTTCTTAAGTTGAATTTCTCTAGAAAGAGACCCTGAGAGGAGGACTTGCCCACAAGCTGTGTATTGGGGAAGTGATCCCAGGAAGCTCTGGTAGAAGAGGGCGCAAGAGAAGCAGCAAGCCATATGCAAGCAATAAAGGGACATTACCATGTAGGGTTGCCACTGTGGAAAACAGGGGCTCCGTCCTGCTGAGAACTCTGTGAGACAGTGGAGAACATGCCTCACAAGTGTCCCCACTTCCTGTGGGGCAAAAGAATTGAGGGTAGCAATTGGAGCAATTTCTGTCAATTATAGTTGAATGCTCTCGGGAGGGAGGTACATGTTAATTTCTAGTTACTCCCTGTGTGTCCCAAGTGCAGGTCCCTATCTCAAGAGAAAGCACTCAGGCAAAGAGTTGAAGATGCTGGAGGTTGAATATTTTAATATTGGTTTGTGTGAGGAAGGTAAGCACCAAGTGGATGTGGTCAGAACAACAGAGTACCAGCTACAGATGTGATTATGGCGAGAAAGAAAGGTGGCGTGGGGGTGCAGAGACAGAGAAGTGGGAGGATATTTCCACCAACGTAGATAACACCACAGATAAAGATGTGAAGACAAAGACCAGGAGAAGTCAAAGCAAAGGTATATCCCACTTGTAGTGGGAACAGGCACTTCTAGAATCACCCATAGAGAATACTATTTCTTCATAGCTAGGAAAATCACAACAGAAGAAGTGAACGTTTGCTTTAAATAAGTGTGTTGTTACATTCTGGATTACTTCCATGCAAAGATTCCTTAAATTTGGTCATTATTATACTATAAAAGTAATAATATGCATTGCAGAAAATTGGAATTAAAGAAAAAAACTATAGTCACATGATCCAAACATTAACATTGTAGATTTTATTTTTTCTTCCAGTGACTTTCATGTAAGTTTTGTTTTAACCGAGTTAGAATCAGCTTTCATTTATATTAGGTTGTTGCAAAGGTAACTGCAGTTTTGCTATTACTTTTAATGCTAAAACTCACAGTTACCTTGGGACCAACCTGATATTTGTGTTTCCTGCTTTTTTTTCATTTAGCATTATGACCGACAGCAGGAGTTTCCACTTGATCAGATCTAAGGAATCACCTGCTTACAGAGTTAGACAAGTCTCCGACTCCCAAATAATCCAGGAAACCTTTGGGAAATAATTCATACCTGGTCCCTAACTGAGGTTCAAATGTATAGCACCATAGCCAATAGGCAGTAGTGTCCTCAGGAAGTGAGATTATGGAGAGGGGCAACAGATGGTGTGAAAGAAGGAGAAAAAAAAAGAGTCAGGAGAAATAAATGAGAGATCCCATTTCTACAAAAAAAAAAAATAATTAGCTGGGCACAGTGGCACACTTATAGTCCCAGCTACTCTGGAGGCTGATACGGGGAGATCCATTGAGCCCTAGGGGTATGAGGCTGCAGTGAGCCATGATGACACCACTGCACTGCAGCCTAAGTGAAGTGACAGGACAAGACCCTGGAGAGATGGAGAGAGAGAGGCAGAGAGAGAGAGAGAAGAAGAAGAAGGAAGAGGAGGTGGAGGAGGAGGAGGAAGAGGAGAAGGTGGAGGAGGAGGAACAATGGAGGGGATGAAGACGAGGAGGACAAAGGAGAAGAAGAAAGCATGACATCTGAGCCAAAATCAGCAACAAGGCTTGGGTAGTAGGTGGATAGGAGCAATCATTAAACCCATTAGATCCTGGAGCAGGGCTTAAACTCATCAGAATCTACTGCACTTAGCAACGGAGAAAGCTGTGTGGCTCTACAGTAAGGATGTATCATGGGGCATCAATAACAGAGGTCAGAAGCAGAGGGTACCTGAATACTTGAGCTCTTAATGACAGCAAAGAAGAGAACCTCATAGGACATAAGATGTCAAGGCTGTGTAAGCACTACCACATGGGCAACTCAAGCCAGGAATAAATGGCTAGGTGGCTATGGATAGATGCATGGAACAGCCATAGAAGCAATAGAGTATCCACAGGCAACAGCCAAAACAGAGCATAAAATTAGCAGCTGAAGCAAAGAAGGCAGAGATGCAGGCAGTATGCAAATTATATGAAGGGCAACACTCTCCCTTCTCCAAAGACCCAGCAGAATTGGGACATGCTGTGGACTTTGCCATGAGGCATATATGGGGTTTGGGAGAATCATTAAAATAACTTGCTTAGTATTCATAAACTAAAAGGTAAAGCATTGCAGGTATTTCTGACATTAACAAAAATATTCCATAAACTTCATGATGTGAATATCTCTTAATTTATTTAATAATTTTCCTACTTCTAGACACTTTGATCATTATAGTTTTTTTAATTCTGTAACTAGAATAAAAAGTTGTTTCATGCCAAAAGATTTTTCTATGTATAATAACATTCTTAAGGTAGTTTCTAAGATTATTATTTTATCAATTATTTAATAATCATTATTATTTTTACTGTCAAACAATATATTTTTAGGTCATAGTTGACTTGGTAAGATCCTTTGAGATAGGACTTATTTTATAAATATGAAAACTGAGGCTTAAAAAATAAACTTGCGTACGATCACAAGGCTAGTGAAGTACATCCATTGGATTGCAAAGCCCACACTCTTAACCAGCAGCCTATGCTGAAAAGCTGTGCTAAACACTATTCTGAAAGCTTTTGATACAAATAAACACGCTTAGTTTAAATAGCAAAATAATGGAAATTTTATACTGCTGGCTCTAGAATCACCAGTTGAAAAGTAGGTATGAATTATCTCCCTAGGGGCTTCAAGATTCTATGGAATTGGGGAAGTTTGTCTAATTACACAAGTAGAATCACCACCAGACATTGACTTGCTGTGGAAGGCGGCCATAAGTGGCCAATTCTACCTTTAAACCACAGTTTAATTCCAAAAATTTATAAAGATGTTAGAAAAATACTTGAAATAAAATAATTTTGTTGTAAGCATCTTATGGCCCTGCAGTTTAATAACACACATCATTCTAAAAGTAGCATTAAAAAAAAAGCCATTATTACTTCCAAAATATTTACTGAAGAATTTCAAAGTAAAAAAAAAAAAAAAAAAAAAAGAGAGAGAGAGAGAAGAAATTACTCTATCCTCAAAAATGTGAAGTGGATCATGAGATTAGGAGATTGAGATCATACTGGCCAACATGGTGAAAGCCCATCTCTGCTAAAAATACAAAACTTAACTGGGCGTGGTGGCACCTGCCTATAATCCCAGCTACTTGGGAAGCTGAGGCAGGGGAATCACTTGAACCAGGGAGTTGGAGGTTGCAGTGACCCAAGATTGCGCCACTGCATTCCAGCCTGGAGAAAGAGCGAGACTCTGTCTCAAAAACATAAAAATAAAAATAGTCAGCTAAATTCCTAGTGAGAACTATCTAACATTTATAAAATTGAGGCCAACACTGTATGGGTATCAGTAAATCCTCAACGTATTGGCTATATTTAAAAAATAAACTCAGTTCTTGTTTTCAGTAGACTAACCTCACTCAGAATTAGCATGCCTAATTATTTCTTTCACTAAAGTGGTACTTCTGATTTAGGGAGAAAATCTATAGTAAAAGAATCCTAGGTTAGCAATATTTAGTTGTGCCAAAAGTTAGCTGTTTGGTCATGGGTAAACCACTCGACTTCTTTAATCCTCAGCATTTTATCTCTAAAATAATGAGTTTGGATTATGTGGAATAATAATAAATTCACTCAGGACTTATTATGCATCCCTATGTCTCTAGCATTATGTCTTTGATGTTGATTAATCCATATAACTGAGCCAAGTAGGTATGAAGTGCTGTATTAGCAGAATCAACTAGATTAAGCTAGGACACAGGGAAGAAGAAAGGGAGGAAGGGAGGAAGAGAGGAAGGAAAGGAGGGAGGGAGGGAGGGAGGATGGAAGGGGGGAGGGAGGAAGGAAGTATGGAAGGGAGGGAGGGAGGGAAAGAGGGAGAAAGGAAAGAAGGAAGGAAGGAAATGAGATCTCAGTGCCTTAATAAAATAACATTTATTTCATGGTTACATAAAGTTACTTGCAGGTTGAGCCACCCACTTTCATGTCAGTAGCAACCCTAGCTGGAGTTCATAAGTCTGCAGTTCATAAGTCACTACACAGGGGAATTTCATGAGCTGGAGGCTTGTGCAGGGTGCTTTTAAAGACCAGAACCAGCAGTGGATGGCTTCACTTCACTTCCACCCACACTCTCTGGGTGGAGCTCAGTCATGTATCCCCTGAAACTTAACGGTAAGGGAGGCTAAGAAATATAGTCGTCCTAATGTCTAACACCATAAATGGTGAACACAGTTCATTACCTCTGCCATAGTTATTTGACCCAATCTATATATAAAAAGACTGGGGCTTAGGTAAACTAAGTAGTTTGCTGGGGGTTCACACAGCTAATAAGGGATGATTATGGAAGTCAAAGGATCAAAAGAATCCCTACCTTAACTAACCTCTAAATTATGCAAACCTCTAAGTCTCCTTCCATCAGCATTGTCACCACCATGATTGCACCCAGAAAACAGAGTAATTGATAGCAAAAATTCTTTTTTTTTTTTTTTTTGAGGCAGAGTCTCGCTCTGTCACCCAGGCTGGAGTGCAGTGGTGTGATCTCAGCTCACTGCAGCCTCTGCCTCCTGGGTTCAAGCGATTCATGTGCCTCAGCCTTCCTAGTGCTGGGATTACAGGCACGTGCCACCACATCCAGCTATTTTTTTTTTTTTGTATTTTTAGTAGAGATGGGGTTTCACCATGTTGGCCAGGATGGTCTCTATCTCCTGACCTTGTGATCCACCCACCTCAACCTTTGGGAAGTGCTAGGATTATAGGCATGAGCCACCGTGCCCCGCCAATTCTTTTGATTTGTTTTTCTTTTTTCAGTTCTTTGCTGCAATGCATAATCTGTTTTCATGTAGCCACATAGACGGACACATGACAGAAATTTTTGGCACAGGCTTTTGTAACCAGTTCTATTTATCAAAATTCAGTCTGATAGTGAAAACTTTCATCAACTCCACTCCAAGTAACTAGTAAACAGATGTATCTTAAAATAACCTTAATCCTCTCATACTAGAATATTATATTTAATTTACTGTAAGTAGTGGTAATGTAGAGAAGCGTTTTTTCAATGATTAGTTGAGTTTTTAATTTTTAAAATAATTTAAAATAATTAATACAAATTAATTTTTGCCCAACTTTAAAAATAACCAGTTAAAAAATATGGAGTAGCGATCAAATTAGTCTCACATCTGCAGAGTTATAATAGAACCTTAGTGATAAAATGAAAATAATTTTCTAGGAGAGAGGACTTATAATTAATGAGTGATTTCTGCTCATTCAGGGTGATATTTGCCTTTATGAAATGCAATCTATTTCTCCTGTAGAAATATGTATAATTTACTACCTGATGAGATGCCTTCTATTTCTCCTGTAAAAAGTATAGCCTTGTGAGAGAGTGACTGCAATGCCTGGCAGCAGAGGGCCTCAGAGGTGCGAGGTCTGAGATCCAAGGAGATTGAGTAATGAAGAAGTTCAGACCAATGACCCACATTAGCAATACCAAGTAACATGCAGACATGGTTATCCCCAAGATATGAGGGAGATGTGATTTATGCCATCATTTACATTTACATCTCTCATCAGATGCTGCAATGGTGTCAAGATATTTTCTACCCATTATAACAGGTTATAAAATACCTGTAGAGCTTCAGCCTGTTTTACCTACAGACAGTTGATCACCATTTCTTCTTTTTTAAATCCCTATGTTTACATCTCTAAATCTGAGGTCTGAAATCCTAGAGACTGTAAATATTATCCACCTTCTCTTTTCCTATTCAACCATTCTAAATTTACCTGAAATGTAAAGGCTAAGCTAAAAGGAAAATATGCATTCATGAAAGATTTAGTTTTCCCTGATTACCTTCTTTCTGTTTACCATTTCTGTTGGCATAGGCAGGTAAAATTGAATGACAAACATCGTTTTACTCTGCCTCTTGTTTATGTTAAAGTAATGATATTGCAGAGCATTATGCATAATATATAAAGCATTCACTTATAAACAAATGTTATCTATATTCCACCTCCTTAAAACCAACACAAATATGTGACAGATTTTTACTTTATCTCAAAATGTTTATGCAAAGTTTAAGAAACACCATCTCTGTATATTTAAATTTTTAAAATATTCTTTAAATATTATTTTCGAACTGGCTCTTCTTAAGTGTTAGTCTAGAAAGAGTCCTGAATAACACCTGAATCTTAAAAAATCTTCACCCCCACTGCTAATGTTAAAGGCAGGAGAGGAAAATTTATTTCACATTTTGGAAACCACAAATTGCAGCATCACTCAGCATATTGAAAATAAAGCCTAAAATATTGGAGATTACATTCTTAGCAAACACCATTGTCCCTTATATTCAAAAATAAAGTTAGAAAATGATATTTCATTTATACCACTGCTCAATTTGACCATGTAACTTCTCAAGAAGTTATTAAAATTCCTTCCAAAGAATTTAAATAAAAAGGCCAATAGCCATTTATTGTGTCACCAATTGTGTGTCACCTGGCCAAACGTACTAGAATTGTTTCCTTTCCTGACCTTTAAGGCACAAAAATCCATGGTATTTGACACACACTTCATAATTTGTTGGTGAGTCACCAGTTAGGCTAGGACCCTCATGATCTAATAGTTTGTGACTATGCTTCTTCTAGTAGAAGAAATTCTCATTGTTGGAAACAGCTAGCCAACCAGTATCATAGGAATCTTTTCAGCCACCAACTTTTTGATAAATCAGCTGACAATAATAACCAATGAATCAGTTAATAACAGGGGAAATTCAATGGAGTCCTTCTAAGACCATGGTTCTTAACCTGGACTGCATGTTAGAGCACCTGGGTAGCATAAAAACAAAACTGAAACCTGAGTCCAACCTCTCAGACAATTTGTAGCCTTTAGAAATACAGCCTATGTATCCATATCTTTCAGAAAGTGTTCCAGGTGTTTCTACTGTGCAGCCAGGAGGGAGAATTATTGTCTCAAAAGCATGAGTAGAAACACTAAAAAAAAAAAAAAAAAAAAAAAAAAAAAAAAAAAAAAAACCTCCTTAAGAGTGGTAGAAAAGTGTACTTTTGAAAATGTTTACATTTCTACCTGTAATCCTGGCTCACATTTTCTATAGCAAGTTGCTAGCTCACCCATGGCCCTAGAGCTTCCACAGATTCGGCCAAAAGGAAGAAGAAAAGCTACATTAAGCATTAAAAAACAACTCCTAAAAAGATGAAGAGCTTTCTTTTCTCCTCCTCATTCTCTTCTTCTCCCAACCAGAACAGCATCCTCCAATAAGAGCTGGTTTTGTACTCACTACCGAATGGGGCAGGGTGGGAATGTGGAGGCAATATCTGAGATGAACTTTGTATGCCCCCCACAAAAACAACCACAAAACCATCAGTTTTATTCCTTACATTTCTCTCTTCATGTAGACATGGACACACTTTTCTCTTTTAATCTCTATTCCTTCAAAATCCCCTTGGTTCTTGAGGACTCCTGTATTAGTCTGTTTTCACACTGCTGATAAAGACATACCCAAGACTGGGCAATTTACAAAAGAAAGAAATTTATTGGGCTTACAGTTCCACATGGCTAGGGAAGCCTTATAATCATGATGGAAGGCAAGGAGGAGCAAGTCACATCTTATGTGGATGGCAGCAGGCAAAGAGAGAACTTCTGCAGAGAAACCATCAGATCTCATGAGACCCATTCACCATCATGAGAACAACACAGGAAATATCTGCCCCCATGATTCACCACACATGGGAATTATGGGTGCTAAAACATGAGATTTGGGTGGGGACACAAAGTCAAACCATATCATTTCACCTTCAGGCCCTCCCAAATCTCATATCTTCACATTTCAAAACCAATTACGCTTCCCAACAGTCCTCCAAAGTCTCAACTCACATCAGCATTAACTCAAAAGTCCACAGTGCAAAAGTCTCATCTGAGGCAAGGCAAGTCCCTTCTGCCTATGAGCTGTAAAATCAACAGCAAGTTACTTCTTAGATACAATGGGTATACAGGCATTGGGTAAATACGGCCATTCAAAAATGAGAAAAATGTGCCAAAACAAAGGAGCTACAGCCCTCATGCAAGTCCAAAATCCAGCAGGGCAGTCCAA